TCTAACAGCCCGGGGCATGATACTGATGACTGTTGGAAGCTGAGGTACAAAATCCAAAACCTGATTGATGAAGGAGCATTGGAGTTTGCACAAGATGGTCAGGCTGAGTTCTTCTACTATCCCTCCAAGGTTCACCATTTTAAGTGACAAGTCCTGAGACGAGAAGACTTTTTGTTCATTGGAATTTTCAATTTGTAATTTTCTTTTGATTGTTCAAACATTTATTCATGTCAAACTTTATTACTTTATCAATGCATCGCATATGTCTGTTTTGAATCAATCCATTCGTGTTCACTATATTCAAACTCTTTCATTTTTTTGTGATGTTCAATTCTCGATTAAAAATTCTAAGCCTTTTGAGGGAGGATGACGAAAACGATACCACGATCTTTACAGTATGCTTTTGAGCAGACCCCGCTGATGAGGTACAGGCATTGTTTCAAATCTTAAACAGTGGAGTTATAAGGAAGATAATCCCTAGTCAACCCCTTTGAGCCAAAGAAGTCGGAGTTTTTTTTCAAAAATTAAAACCCTTAATTATAACCTGGGGCAGGGTAGTTTTCTCAGTTGATCCAGGTGCACAACGAATGGCATCAAAGAAGTCCTTCCGAGACAAAAAGACAATGATGGTTCCCTATAATTGTCAAGACAGGCAGTCATTATTTCTCAAAATAAAATCCCAACAAGTCAAAACCTATGAAGGAGACTTACAAAACTAGGGCATCCCGCTGACTGTAATTACAAAAGAAACGGTTCAGGCAAAAAACAGGGATAATAAAATCAAAAAGAAAGAGGTCCTACAAACCCTCAACAAAAAAGAAATGACTGCCTATTCAAAATAAACTGTCAATATCCGAACCATCACCGGAATATCAGAGCAAAGACTCAAACAAGATCTAATGCACGATTAGCTGAGTTTAGGATCGAAGAACATCACGAAGAACGGGTGGGTACAAATAAAATTTGAGCCTTTATCCTTTGTTTCTTAAACCGTGAACCAGGCCACGTTATAACCCTTAAAAAGTCCTAGCTGAAGCACGGGTTAGTTCGAAAGCATACTGTTACAAAGGTATCCTGACTCCTGTAGGGCTTGCTGTAAAATCTTGAGTTGACATCACATTTTACAAAAATCACTGGTTTTACTGAAAACTGCATTTTCAAAAACTTCAAAACAGACATAAGCTTTGCATTCTTGAAATATTATTGTGTGCATATGACTATTTGTTCAACAGCAGAGAAATTCGCACGACGAATATCTATTGAACAAAAACCTTCTCAACAAAAAGGGTCACCTCAAGTGGAAAGAACACTTCCAACCAAGGGGCAGACATGATCATTGTCCATAATTTGGGGCAGTCAAGTCAAGATTCAGAGAATCTCTCAAAATGCCAAAATAGTCAGGGGCAAATCTCCGCCTGAGTCACTTGGGGAATTGGACATGAATTCCAGCGACAAATCTGGTACGATCAAACATCTTCTGGTAATATGACAACACAACACTATTGGCAGTGACAACTCCCTACATTTTGAGAGCGTGGACATAGTCGAAAAAATACTACACATAATCAAAGACCCGCTAGGTCGACTGGCCTAGGCAAAAATAAGGGCTTCCTGGTGAACCAAAAGGGTTCGGGCAAAAATAAGGGATGTAAATGAAAAATCTGTACACCCGGCAAGTCGAAAACCTGAAAAGGCGGCTTGAGCAAAAAAAGGGTATCCCGGTGCACTAAAAACCCGAAAAGGCGGTCCAGGCAAAAATCAGGGATCAAAAAGCGTACGACTATGTCCCGTCATCTCGTCACTTACCTACCAGAAGAAGATTCGTCAATCAGCAGTTATCAAGCACCTCCACCGGTACCTTCTCCCACAGAAACCGGGGCAATAAGAATTGTCCGAACTGTACAAGATGCTCTATCCACCAAGGTACTGAGGTATATATTCAGTTGAAGAATGTAACCAGGATACCGTCACTCCCCGCAACAAAAGACAGCAATGGTAGCTCTCACCACTGAGACTTGCAACTACGAATGAATCAGCCATACCCTCCCCTAGCAGAGTTGGTCTCCCATCAGCCCCAAAAAGGCGCAGTATCCCCAGCAAGTCAGCAATGCTCTACCCAAGCAGAGTTAGTCCGCTGTCAGCCCTAAGGAAGATGGGTATCCCCAGAAGATCTTAATATTCTCCAGCAGAGTATACAGATATTCCTCAGCAAGCATCCCCGGCAGTCTTAATATTCCTCGACAGAAATATAAGATTGTTCCCCGGCGGAACACAGACACCCCAGTGGAGCCCTGTCCTCAAAAGTTTCCCTAGGAGAGTTGAACCATCTCCCCAGTAGATTCTGGAAGCTTGTCCCCTGCAGAGTACAAATATCTCTCCCCGACCATGTTCAAAGGTTATTCCCCACCAGAGCCTAACTGGGCTATCCTCAGCAAATTACAACGGAAATATCGTCCTCGACGAAGTTCTTCCTATCCCCAGCGGAGTTCATCGAATTCCCCAACAGAGCTTATCAACAGGAATCCCCAGCGGAGTTATCATCAAAATCTCAGTGAAGTATCTCTTCCCACAGAGTAATTCCCCGCAGAGTAATCTCTCCATCAGGTTTATTCCCCAACAGAGTCATCTTCTCCTACAGGTTTATTCTTGCAATCATCTTCGTTCATCATCCCCAACGGAAACGGAGAACTCTACTCTTCAACATCGGCCCAGGATTTAACAAACTCCCGGCATTCATCAAGGATTTATTTTCCAGACAAAAATACATTCATAAACATTTCACATTTCATATCTCCTGCTTACATACATGATAAAGTGCATACGACACGATCTCGTTTTGAGAACATCATGACATCATTTCATACATCATGGCATTGCATACAGCTAACGTTTTTCCCTTTCAGGAAAAGGTCAATCAAAAGACGATTACCATCAACTTTTTGTGTTCCAGACCAACCCCTGTATCCAGCCAGGAAATATATGTGAGCGATTGATTATAGATCTATACCTGTAACTAGCCAGGAAAGTTATCTACATGAAGAGTTTGAAGATCAACACCTATAACAGGCTAGGAAATTATCTTTCATTCTCAGGTCAAAGGTCTACACCTGTATCCAGCCAGGAAAGCTATCTCGACCAACCTTTTGAAGTTCCAGATTCGATACCTGTATCTAGCCAGGGCATATCTGTGAGCGATTGATTGTAGATCTATACATGTATCTAGCCAGGAAAGTATCTGCATGAGGAGATTGAAGATCAATACCTGTATCTAGCCAGGAAGTTATCTTTCATTCTCAGGTCAGACACTACAAGAAAATTGGCAGATTGCGACAGGTATTTTTGTAGATTACGACGGTTAAAACCGTCGCAATTTGCTTTCCACGACGGTTGCTTTACCGTCGCAGAAGTGTGTGTCCCCAACCTATTTCGCGACGGTTACAAAAACTGTCGTTCTAGTTTACGACGGGTTGATACCGTCGTGACTATCTTTTGAGTTTCTTTTAATTATTGATGGCGACGGTTCGATGCTGTCGTGAATATCTTGTGAAATTGATTAAATTGTTTATGGCGACGGTTCGATACCGTCATGACTTTTGTTGATTATTTTTAATTGTTGATTACGACGGTTCGGTACTGTCGCCATGACTTTTGTTTATGTCTTGATTTTTTTTTTCTATTATATATATTTTTTATTTAAATTATTATCTATGTAAAAAATTTTAAATATAGTTTTTTTTTTGTGTTATTTTTTTCTTTAAATTATTTCTTTAATATATTTATTTATAGTATTATTTTTTGTTTTATTTTCTATCACTTTGTAATATAGTAAAAATAATTTCAATAAAAAATATTTAACATCAAATAAGCATTATAATATCCAAAAAAATGTGTGTTCCATAATCACGTAAAATGCGAGTTCCATAATCATGTCAAGTAGTACAAAAAACCCAAAATATATCAATTCCTAATCTTATAATAATAAGTATCATTATGCCAAAAATACATGAGAAAGTTCACAATCTAATTATCTCGATCATAGCAAAGTCTAATTTGTCCCCCCTAAAGTTCCATTATCTCCAATACGGTAGCTAGACTCAGATGAACGTCTACCATCAGCGGGTGATTCCAATCCCTAAAAAAAGGTATTAAAATAATAATCTTTAAAATAATACTCATAAAATTTAACTTTAAATGCGTCAAAATAATATACCTGTCTTCCACTAAAATTCTGCATTTGCATTAAGAGTTCAATTTCCTTTGTCCTCGCCTTGTCCCTTTGCGTTAAGAATATGATTGCCTGTGTTAGGATTTTAAAGTGCTTTTGCGGTCCCGTATGAATGCGATTGCAAACATTGCAATTTTGGTTATTACAATTGCTTATAAGAATAATGTATTTGTAAAGGCACACTCAAATTTAAGATAAAATTCTTATAAGATAAAATTCTTTAGTCTAACACTATTAAACAGTGATATAGTAAAGGCACACTCAAATTTAAGAATGAAATCATACCTCAAAGACGCACGAGGGTTTGAAGAGCAGCGAAGCAAGTGGAAGAGAAAAGTTACCTGCAACAAAAACCAAAGCAGCATATCAATAGTTGGTAGAAATCATAGATTTATCAAATAGAAATATTATATTTTTCAACAGCTCATATCCCTTTAAATCCAACAAAAACATTATTATTTTCATTCTAGTGCAGAAGACACTTCATGTTTCAGATGCATGAAGGGGTGCAGCTCACTTTCTTGAGAAGAAGGGGTTCACTCAATTTACTCCTCACTTTATAACTTGGTACTGCCCTAATGATTTTCTCTTAAGCAATCAATGCAAGTCTCGGTGTATAAACAACGGCCGGTACTGTGCTCCAGACCCTCAATAGCATCTATGATATAATTTAACAGAATTCCAGATTACTAGATCTGTTTTGTATTATTTATAAACTGTCAATGTTTTTCATATGCTCTAGCTTGCGTAAACATTTCTCTACCACATGTTAATTTTAGACCCTACCAACAGGAGAAACTGGTGGATTAGAAACATAACTTGTAGGAATATCTTCTAATTTACCAAAAGCCTTTAGTTCCTTGGTTTGCGACTTTCTTGTTCCAGAAAGCTCACATGGCATCTTGCTATCAACTAATGCAATGCAAATGGCGAATGCTTGCAAAAGTGAGAGCGACGAGTCAAAGGCTACAGAACTCATACCATTTTCTAAGGGGTTAAGCTGAATGCTGGGCACGGATCGTGTTTGTTCCCCTGTGGTTAGCAAGAAAAGAGATGCACCAAAATTACTAATCTTAGTAATATGTAATAGCGTATGCAAAATATGTTTCATGAACAAAATGTACCTGAACAAAAAGATCGAATTGATAATCTGCAAAATAAGGTTTGGATGACAGTGGTTTTCTACTGGCTTGATTGTCAGTAGCAATAATTTTAAGTTTGCAAGCCAAATCCCAACCGCCGCAGTCACATGATCCACCGGATTTCCACCGCTCAAGTAGTGATGAAGGTCCGCCTTTACTTGGAAAACTATGAACCCCGCCTGGGAGCACAACCGTTGCATGGACAATGTCATGACTATCACTGTGGCAACTGCTATGATGTTGATTGTTAATGAAACTGATAGCTTTAGGTATTTTGACGGCAATAGCAGCAAGCTCGTCTTTTGGCTGATAGTCGGCGTCCTGAGCATCACTTTGCCCGAGCTTTACAGAAAATAAAACAAACTCTTTCACGGTAGAGGAGTCCATACAATTCTGGCCGGTTAAATCATAATAATGCAAATAAGAAGCCTTCATTTGAGCCACAACATGGGGAACGTAATCAGGTTCTTTGCTTCTGCCTGCTTTACTCATCCAACTTCCATTCTTCTTCTTAACCTCGCTAAAGGTTAAAAAGGTATAGATGCGGTTGCATTCGTCTTTTCCAGAGTCGCCTAAGTTCTTCACTTTGGCTGCAAGAATGTTACCGTCAATTTGGTTAACAGCAAATGTAAAAAGAGGCAGACCGTTCTTCACAGCAATTCTCAAAAGAGCTTCTGGAAGGTAGTGGGGGAAGATGCGCTGCTTTCTCAGGTGCTTCTGGAAGATCTAATTCCAAATGACCAAGTGGCCGCAAGAAAGAGTTCTCCTGAAATCATAAATAGTAATTGTTCAGATTGCTTTTCCTATTACGGGGAGAGGGGAAACTAACCAAATTAAGTAGTGCAAGATACCATGACAGCATCACCAACAGTCAACTCAAAATCATATCTGCCCGAGAGATAATAAAATTTGTCCACCAAGCCAAGAAAATCCTAAAAGACAAAATTATGAATTTTAACAGAACAATAACTATATATTAATAGTAGATGAGAATGAAATGATCATACAGTCTTCGCCAAAACATACAGGTGACAAAATTATAAGCCCCCAAACCCAGTCCAGCTTAAATGCAATTAGGGAATGCTGATTCATATTTAATTGTGCATATCTAGAACGGTACAACCTAACAGATAAATAAACCCTCTGTTACAAAAAGACACATTGTATTAAAACCAGAACATACATGCCTTTTCCACTTTAAGTTCACTTGATTTCTAATATTCAGAATGTAGCAGTTATGAACTAAAACAGATTATCCTGACTTCAGCATCGTGTAATAGCTATTTATTATGAATTGTAACAAACTCAATAAGTACTCGAGAATAGACATGTTAATCTAGACAATGAAATATAAAATAGGAGATACTTAACGAGAATAATCTCGAACTTCTTGCCGGTATTTCTGACCACAAAGATGTGTTCATACTTTGTCTCATGCTTCAACTTAAGCAATGCCTGAAGAAGAATAAATGTTTAATAAAGAAGAGACCAATGAAATGACATTCATTTAAAAGGTCTAATGCAACTACTACAAACCTGGCGAGGCTTAAAGGTATGGCCATGAGGCGTTATCAACTGAAAAGAAAAACGCAACTTTTGAAGATGGTTAGCTGAGAGTGAAACAAAATCAGTTCCAGCCAAATCTAGCCTACACAGAAACACAAAATAAAGATTTAAATTGAAGTGAAGAAATAAACATAATTAATAGAATTGCTAACAAAAACGCAAAACCAAGATTTAAATGTATATATGTGTTCAGCTCGAACTTCAAACACTGCATAAAAATGACAAACATATGACAATGAGACATACTAATTGATGATTAAGTACACTGATCCTGAATATAATTGCAGAGATGTTTTCAAACCAGTAATTGAAACCTTACGTTTTCTGGGTTTCATCACTTCCAAGATCACTGCCAAGAACTGCAATTTCTGCGTTGCTAACTTTAACAATGCCAGTGACATATATCGGCACGTGAATTTGGCCTCCAATAGCATAATCATTTTCACTACCTGAATCATGAAGCGCTGTCTACAAAATAGGCTTAAAACGTTATAACTAACAAGCAGATACAAATAAATACACCTTGGTGTAATGAAAGGAAAAATAATCACTAAATAAACATAATACCTCAAAAACAAACACATATGTTCCCACATCCACATTATCTGGGAAGCCCATGACATGAAGTCCACTACTTTGATCGTACTGGAGTTCCTGTAGAACACAATAAGGGAGGTATATTCAAACAATTGAAAGTAGAACAGACCAGAGATAATAAAGAATCCCATAAACTAAATTACTCTACGACATCCACTTCTAAAAATAATCATTGACTCATCACTCACCTTGCCCTCGATAACAGCAGAATGTTTAGCATCAGCGTGGAAAGCTCTGACAAGCTTAACTGTAAGAGGTGGTGCGGCTAAACCAAGTACTGTATTCACTGTAACCTGTTTAATTTTGAAATAGAAATCTGTCATTTTCCGAAGTGAAAAGCTGTACATTCATTAAAAAAAACTTAAGATTTATTAATGCAGCCAACTGATTCATGTGATGCTAATATATTATTGCATGTATAAGAATCAACAAGTGAGAAATGGGGGAAGAGTTTATTAAGCTCCACAACTGAATAAAAAACAATGGCGCATAGGAGAGTGTGAGATGAAGAATTTAAAAGGAGACTGAAAATGACAGAACCAAAAATAACTGGTAGCATCATGTGAAAGAAAGCCTAACTGGAACTCAGAACTGTATCAATAATCTTTAATATATTTGAGTCAACCAACATATTTTTGACAGAAAAAGTGATAAAAACATAATCTTATGAGGTGGTTGAGGAGCCAAAACAGAAAACCAGTGTGAACCATCAACTAATCGTTTCACTCCCAAAATAAAGACTTTAGAAACTTTAACTTCATTACTTACCTTGAGCTGATCTTTTTTGGACAATGAATAAACTGTTGCAGGAAGTGACAGCACTAATGGGACGGGAACCCTACACCAGAACAAGAAATCCGAGGCATTTTTGTTACTGAATATTATTAAGATATCAAGATATGTGCAAAGAAGAAACAAGAGGGAAAAAAGGACACCACTATAAAGCTGTACTAAAATTATAAATTCTTTTCCTGAAAAGCACTTGCCTTTTGCTCTCCAGAAGAGCTAATGATTCAATTTGATTGAAGAAGTCCTTGGCACTTCCTGGAAGAGGAACCATCGACCTTGAAGAGGAACCATCGAAGAGTTGTAAAGCAGCGGAACGGTGAGAATCGGAAATCGGACTTGGATTCGTGACGGCGTTGCAGATCGAAATAGTGAAAAACAGTATGAGAAATTTGGCTAGGTTTATGGCCATTTCTGCAGCTATGAATCTATGAATGCAAATCGCATTTACGATAGATTAGGGATTTGAGAAATGAGATCGAGAATTACGAGATACGCGAAGAAACGACTTGTGCGAGTGAGTCTGTGTGTTTTTGGTGCAACTGAACTAGTATCATCACTGGCTCTTGATCATCTAGCCATCTTTTCAAACAACGAATCGCCGCCAGTCGCTGCCGTCACGGTGCTTCCGGATTCTCTGAACGCAGGAGTAGAAAGTGAATGGATGTTTTATGAGATTTTTAACTTTTTTACGGCGACGGGTGTTTTACCGTCGTGCCCATGAAAATTTTTAAAGGTTTTGGATGCGACGGTTGTTTTACCGTCATGAAATGAATTTTAGGACGGATAATTTTACCATCGTGAAAGGTTTAAGGGTGCGACGGGTGCTTTACCGTCGTGATATGCCTTTTAGGAGGGTTAATTTTACCGTCGTGACTAGTTGTTGGTGAAAAATCAATGTTAAAAGTGTTAAATGCGGGCCGACGGTTGTTTTACCGTCGTAATAATAATATTATGATGGTTAAATATACCGTCGCAAAATAAATATTAGGGACGGTTGGTGTCAACTGTCGTAAACACTGTCTCTATATGTCAATTACGACAGTTATCACATAACTGTCGCAATTTTTGTGTCGTTAAACACTAATTTTCTTGTAGTGAGAGGTCTACACCTGTATCCAGCCAGGAAAGCTATCTCGACCAACCTTTTGAAGTTCCAGATTCGATACCTGTATCTAGCCAGGGCATATATGTGAGCGACTGATTGTAGATCTATACCTGTATCTAGCCAGGAAAGTATCTGCATGAGGAGATTGAAGATCAATACCTGTATCTAGCCAGGAAGTTATCTTTCATTCTCAGGTCAGAGGTCTACACCTGTATCCAGCCAGGAAAGCTATCTCGACCAACCTTTTGAAGTTCCAGATTTGATACCTGTATCTAGCCAGGGCATATCTGTGAGCGATTGATTGTAGGTCTATACCTGTAACTAGCCAGGAAAGTATCTGCATGATGAGATTGAAAATCAACACCTGAAACCAGACAGGAAAGCTACCTTTCTTTCTCCAGTATGCAAGTTCTCGCTAAGGAATCTCTTACGCGATCAACATCTCCAGATGGCATCTTTAAGCCCATCTCAAAAACTATCCATCACATCTCCAAATGGCATCTGTAAGCCCATTCCCGACATCACACTGCTGATACTACACCATGTGAGTGCAAATTTCTGGGCACTCTAGTGTTCAATCATCTTCCACTGTCGGATCACGAAAGGCACGCAGGCCAATCTACATCCACAGGTTTAAGAAGATTGAACAGGGGCAACTGTTGTACCCCAAAATTTGCCCTCCCATATTCTTCAAGGTTTGTCAAGAATCATCTTCAAATGGTTCAAGATTTCTCAAGGGTTGAACAGTCCAAATGCCTCCTAAGCCAATCAAAATTAGGGTTTTGGTTCTTTCAAGGAGTTTGGGGTTTTCAATGGCCCAATCAAGTCTCAAAGGCCTATATGCATTCTCAAGCATCTACATTCCAAGTTTCAAGACTCACAGTGTCAATTTGCACAGTCAAAAGCCTCATTTGACCTACAGTCAACTGCAAGGGCAAAATGGTCATTTTGCAGTCAAAAGTCAGAATTTTTGGTCAACATCTTATTTTAAGTCCACAATCATCATTTGATCAAGTCTTGATCATGATTCCACAAGGATAGCTCAAAAATCATCAAGATGCAAAAGTTACTATTTTTGGACAGTAGAAAAGTCAATTGTATCTTGACCAAGACATAACTTTTTCATGGTTCATCAGAAAAATCCCATCAAATGCTCATTTTGAAGGGGATGACCTTTCCTACAACTCATCTTCACATTTCAAGTCCAAGAAATGCTCTCATAAAAAGTTATCAATTTCTACATTATAGGTCAATTTCAAAAGTAAAAAAAAATGCACTTTAAGTCAAAGACCATAACTTGAGATTGGTAAATCAAAATGACATGGGACCAAAGTAATTGGTTAGAGGACTTCAATACCTTTCCAAAATGTCCAAGAACATGTTCATATGATCAAAATTGAGCAAGATATGCATTGGAGAAGTTGGGAAATATTTGTGAATTTGCAAAAGTCAACTTTGCTCAAAACACCTTGTTTTTGCTAATGGGCCTCAAATTTCTTCTTGAAACTTTATCCAAGGCCTATGCACGACCCATCAAGCCTATTTGAATTTATTTTCTTATTTTTATTAATTAATTGGATTTTTTATCAATATTAATTCATTTAATTAATTTAAATTGTAGGAAATACAAAGATTTGATTTCTCAATCCTTTTGTGAAGCAAGAATGACCTAATCATGCTGGAAATTTCGTGTACCAATCAAGGATATCAAAATCTCCCAATTTAGGAACTTTTTCCAATCAAAAAGATTCAAAAATATTTGATTTTCAATCAAATATACAATCATCAATTCCATGGATTTCTTTGCAAGATTGTGACCTAGTTTCATTCTATTATATATACATAAGTTAACCCTAATGCCACACACGTGAATTTGCTACAGAAAAGGCCATAACCATATTGAGAAAATTCAAAGAAAAGTGAAAATTGTTTTCCATATTCCAGGCCAATTAAAGGACTTTTGTGGATTCAAACACGTTGCTGGAAGTGTGAGGAACGTGTAGGAATCAAAACCAAGCGCTAAAGCTCAAGAAATCCTCAAGAACAGTCGCACGGTTTGACACTTTTGTTCATAATTGTAATTCATATTTCGTGCACGTTTAACATGATTTATTGACTGTTTTGCATTGCTTGAATCCTTATGAAACTAATGGTATAAGTTAATTGACTTATAGTGTACAGAATCAAGAATTGCCATTGACAAATTCTAGGGTTCCTGAGCTTTGGATTTGGGGCTTTATTATCCAGAAAAAATTAGAACCTTTAAGGCATGTGGTTGAACTCGTCAAGACCAGACGAACACACTGGGACCATCGTGAAATATTTATATTAATCATACGCCTATTCGCTATTTTTTGTGGTTGCAGGTTGTGGGGGTTAAAAACCCCCGCTATCTATTTGTTTTTTACAGGTACAAAGGAGGACGATGATGAGGTGTAAGCGTATGGTTGGGCCATTCAAATGAGCGCACGTTTTTATGTTGTTTACAGCATATGTATTAATTGTCCAATATAATATTTGTTCATTATCATAATAACAAATGCAGGCACATGGTGTAGTGGAAGATGAGCTGGCTGGTGATCATTGGGACCTGGGTTCGAATCCCAGGTCCCCCAAATATTTGTTTCTATTTTTCTCCATATGATTGCATGCAGGCTTTCCAGCGTATTCCACCATATACCTCCAGTGATCAGCGCGCCAAGTGGCCTTAAGCATCAATCCAATGGTCATGATTGGAAGACCATGGTACTCCCAGTCAATGAACACGCAGCTAATCCAAAAAAGTCAAACGGACTGGCAAACGAATGGGCCTGAAAGTTGCTTTCTCACCTCCATCTGGGCCCAACACCCCCTGGGTTTTGTTTCTTATTTTTTTTCTCTCTTTTATATTTTACCTTTAATTATTATTATTATTATTATTATTATTATTATTATTATTATTATTATTATTATTATTATTATTATTATTATTATTATTATTATTATTATTATTATTATTATTATTTAATTAACATAATTATTTTCATAATAAATTCAGCAAAACTAAAAATGTAAATATTTTTATTATTCTTATTATTGTCTATTAATTTCACCTTAATTTATTATTTTTGTAAATAAATTCTAACAAATTAATTTAGTTAATTAGGTTAAATTTGACTATTTTTTTTTTGCAATAAATAAAATCCATGTAGAATTAGGTTTTGACAATTTTTAATCATGTTTTCCTTTTTATTTTATTTTCATTAAAAACATAAAAAACTTAAAAAATATTTCTTTTATTTAATTAATTAGAATTAGGTTTAATTAAATGCAAAAAGGACCAAAATTCATTCTTTTCTCAAAAAGGGTCAAAACCCTAAGGACTTCTCCGATTTAATTTCTTTTCGCGCATTATTATTTTGATCATATTTATGTAACTGCTCTGAGAATGTAATAGCGTAATTAGGACTTTTATCGCTTTCTTTATTTCCCGCATTTACTTTTCAAGGGTTATGTTTTTGGCGATGTAAATACCCGACGCCTTGTAATAGCGTAGATTTACTTTTCGCAATTTACTTTCCGCAAATTATTAACTGTTAACTATGCATGACAAGACTTGCCTGAAATTAAAACCAACTCGTAGCTCACCATAAAAATGTGCAAAGATAACTTAAACATGAAACCTGACACACTCGCACATGCCACTCCTAGGGTACGCCTCACTTGGTTGCCTCGACGTGGTCATTGAGTATAGGGTGTTTTAGAGGTCGCCCTCCTGTCTAAAGATCAAAGTTGCCTCGAAACGGTTGCCTCGGATAAAAAAAGATCTAAGACATTAGGGTTACCGCTAAGGCGTCCTACTATTTCTTTGGTGACCACATGTCCCTATAATCGAATTGACCCGAAAACTCCAACGACGGTGCTACCTACTTCTCAATAGTGGGATAGTACTGTCTAAAGGACATTTACACAGCTTAATTTCTTTTGAGTAGGTAGAGGTTCTCAGGTACTTGCTCTTTCAAAACAAAAATACTTTTCGCACCTACACTTTTCTAACAAAAGTTTTCAAACAACACTTCATACACTCTTGAGGACAGATACAAGAGTTAAAACGAAGTTTTCAAACAAACTTTTCAAAACCCACAAACACAAGAAAAGCAAAACATTTTGAAAACATAGTGAGAAAGTACCTAAGAGCCCGTGGATAACCACGGATAGAAAGGGTGCTAACACCTTCCCTTTCTATAATCTACCTCCCGAACCGAGAAACATCTCGAAAAGGAATTTTGATGTGCTTTTGTCCTTTCCTTGTTGGAGAAAATAAA